CCCAATCTGTGCCTAAAACTATGTCAAACGGGAGACTCTCTTCTACAAGGAGGGTCAGGGAGTGCAGTACCTTCTCTACCTTGCCATCTTTCTCCAGGCGAAAGTAGGCGTGAACCCCCTCAACATACTCTTCGACGCGCATCCTACTATTGTCTGCGAGGATGCTGACCACAGGCTCTTCTAGTCGTTGGACCTTTAGGTTCAACTTCAACTTCCTCAGCGCTTTACGACTAATATAGCTCCTAGTCGCCCCGCTGTCTATGAGGGCTCCTACTCTAGCTCTAAATATCTCTACATCTGCGAGGATTAGCTGTCCTTTTTCTATCCTTCTTCATCTTGGCCCAGGTTTGCCTCCTCTCTCTCAGTTCATCGGCTAAGCCTGTGAGGGAAGCGCCTAAAGAGACCCTAACACAAGCGATCTCTGGACAGCTTACTAGACGCTGGCCTGCAACCTCTGCCATGGAAATATGTGGAGTGGGAGACTCTATTTCGCTGGCACGCTCAGATCCACATACTCCTGAGGTAGGGGCAGTTGCAACCCCTACCGGCGACTGTCTTTTGCTGCCCCAAATGCAGCACGGTCCCTATACTTAGGACAAAATTTGATAATGTGGCCCGGGCCCCCGCAGAATACGCATTGAGAACTATTAATGCGTTCTTGCCATACCCTTTCATCTATACCCAGGTCTAACCAAGGTCGGCCTTCAGGCCGGCCTGGATGCCACCTTCCTTGTCTGGGAGGTGACCGACTAGAACTCGGACGGTTAGACGAGGGACCTCCCCTTCCTCCCGCTTGGCGGTTGCCATAGCCTCCAACCCCCTGGCTGCCCTGCCCTCGGCCACCCTGGGCCCGACCACTTGGGCCGGACCGTTGTCCTCCTTGCGGCCTCCCTCCAGCCGCGACAGCAGCGTAGGGTCTCCCTTGGCCTGCGCTGTTGTCCTCCTCTAATCCCCACTCGATGTCAGAGTAGGGAACCTCCTCTGCACCACCTTCCTCCATCGTTAAGATCAGACTATCTTTGGCCTTGATTTGGCCTGAGATGGTGCGTCCCTTCCACGTTTTTTCCTTAGACAGATCCTTGTGCCAGAACGTGGTAACTGGCGACGCTTGGGCGACAAATGCAACTGCCTCCCGACTAAGTGTATCGTAAGTCATGCGCTGCTGATTCTTCTTCTCGAAGAAGTGTCCCTGAATATTTTCAGGCAGGGCGCGGTAGAAGAGGTTAAGGAGTTGCACATCAGTGACTCCATGCCCAGGGACCGCAATCAGTTCGTCCATAGCAGACTTTAGCGCATGCACACTCTTCCACTGGTGAGTGTGGATCATTTGGAGTTTGTCTGAGGCCTTAAGGCCCCGC